GGATTTTATGGATAACTTACGGGGTTAAATGTTTTCAGATGGTACTGGGGACTATTATTTTGAAAACTAGGGTGTCAGATGACTCCTCTGGTTCCTACCTTTAGTTGACACCCTTATAAAAACAAATAAATAAACAAATAAATAAATAAACAAAAAGACTTTTAAGGAATTTTATGGGTGACTGTTAAGGGGTTAAACGTTTTCAGACGCCAATGGGGGGCTTTTGTTTTGAAAACTAGGGTGTCTGACGACTTCCTCCTGTTCTTACTTTTAGTTTGGCACCCTTACACAAAATAAAAGATGTCAAAAGGTTTTTAAGGAATTTCAGGGGTTAAGGGGTCAAATGAAATTTAATAAATTCAAATCAATCTGAAATATTAGACAGTTTTTGCAACAAATGTCACATATTTTGACGAGTTATTTTACACATTTAAGGAAAACAAGCAACAATGAGACAAAAATGAGACAGTAATAGAATCTTTTGATGCATTTTAAAAGCCATTTTCTTGTATTTTTCTTAGTAAACTAAGGTTTTTCTGTAGTTTCAACTCATTGCAGGGACTTCATGGTTCCAGTAAACCTCCAGCTTTCTGACAGATCAACATTTAAAGCAACAAACATTTATATTTTCATAAACAGAGAASCCTCCAGCTCCTCATGAGTGTTACTGCTCAGATGGCTGTTTTTCCTTYGGTTAATGTTTGGGGGACGGATGGAGGCACACGACACAATCAGCTGACAAACATTTAACCAAAAACCACAAAGTGTCATTTTCTGAGCACAGAGAGTTTATGTTGCTTAAATAGAAGCAGATGTGAGACTCTTAATGTGAAGGAGACCTCACAAAAACCCACAGAGCAGAGTCGAGGAGTCATCAGGTTTTCTCATAAAAAACATTTAATGCTTTTACTCTGAAAAACTCCACAACTTCCAGCCTTTAAAATGAGTTTCACCTCGTGGAGCGACAGGCTGAGAAAGGTAGAATATAATTTCCTACATGGTTTTAAAAAGTAGTCCTGTCTTTGACTGACAGCTGCGGTCCGCCTCGTTTGAATTTTGAGACTCCAAACTAATTAACGAGCTGCAAAAGTTGAAGCTTTCAGAGAAGCAACAAAAATTCAGAAAATGTCACTAGAAATAATTAAATTCACATTAGTGACAGCAGAGCTGCTGGTTAGGATGAGATGACAGCCAGATTCTAAAATAATCAAATAAAGCAGCAGCTGATTGGCTGCAGCTCTTCACCTGACTCTAAGTGGAGGTTCATCTTGATGCAAATCAACATTCAGCCTTTTTGYATCCTTGAAAGTGACGCTCTGTTTAATTCGAGGGTGTTTGTAYTTGATTGGAAGAAGGTTTTAGCAGTTACGGCTTTTTAATGTGCAGTTTTCTGCTCCTCGGATGGAATCAGTCGATTTAAAAGCTGTTTCATGCTCAGGTGGAGACTATTTCTCTCTTGTTTCTTCATCCGTCGGCTCTGAAATTGATTCAGAATGTGGAATTTTACATTTGGAAGCCGTTTCCGTGAAACCCCAAAAAGCTATCATTAGGCCGCGACATCGAAACAAATCACAACATTCAGGGCGGTCTAATCAACAGTTTGTTGGGTTCTGAGAAACAGAGCGAAACAAACTGGTGAGCAGAAAACATGGATGATGGCAGGATCATTTTTCTTTCATGGACTCTGGGCTTTT